GAGATTGTCACCGTTGCCGGCGGTGGAAAAATCGCCCATCTCAGATAAGTTTCCGGCTAGGGTTTTAGATGACAGTATTTTTGGTGGGATTGCTTTTGTTAGAGGATGTTTGGAGTGCTTAAGAGTTAACTTACTTTTAAAATCAGTTTTTGATTTATAAAATTGTTTGACAAATATATAAAAATAATTTAAAATTAGTTAAAAAAAAAAAAGACTTAAAATAAGTTAAATGTTTAACAAGTTAAAAAATAACCTAAATAAATTTAAAATGACTTAAAATAAGTTAAAAATTAAAAGTAGGTTTTGATAAGGAAATGCATGGATAGTGTGGCGGTGTGAGAGCTTATTTATGGATAGTTTCAACGGAGGCAGAGGTAAGTTGAAGAAGTATTGGGAAAAAGTGATTATACATGACATAGTGCAGTTTTAGCGTACGGAAGACATGACCTTAGATAGGAGATTAAGGGGGATATGAATGAAGAGTCCGGAGCCTAAAGGGCAAAAAAATTGTCAAAAAATTCAAAAGGGCACATAAATTTTTTTTAAAGCAATTTTTAATAATAAATAAATAAAATTTACAAAATCGCTGCTAGGGCAGCGATTTTTCGTTTTGTGTCAGAGGGAAATCGCTCCATTTTGGTTTTAAAAAAAATTGATGTGCCCTTTTGGAATTTTTGACAATTTTTTTTGCCCTTTAGGCTCCGGACTCTATGAATTAAGATAGAATGTTAGTAGATAGTTGAGTATTGTAGTCTTGCTTATCCTTCAATACTAATAGTCGTAGTATTACTCTTGTTCCTTTGACTTCTATTACTATATATGAATTATTGTTCGTTTTTTTTATCATGTCTTGTGTAATATTTTATCTTGATTTCTTCACTCTTGCTATTCTTGCAACTTCAGTCATGCATGTCTGAAATTGTTCTCGAATGAGAAAACTTACAAAAAATAAAATATGAAAAAAAAATAAAAATACAAACTTCATTAATCATGTTGTCCCAAATTTAGAAAAAGTGGGAAATTAACAATAATCTAAGACCTACTATGTGCTAGTTATAATAAAGGCATCGAAAATAGCAATAGCAATTGCAAATGGAAATTAATGATCTAGGATCTTTTTGACAAACACCACTACGTTTAACATTGAGTCCAACAAAAAAATTGAAGCATTTGTCTTGGCAACAAGATTTTGTATTGCACTCTCCAAGTAATAACAAGCAAGGTGGATCATCCTCTTCCATTGTTCTAACTTGTTTGCCTTCTATCACCATTCTTGCATCCACTCTCTTGCTAACTGCATTATCAAAATACTCATTAATTAACTAGCTTCGTGATGATTTAAATCCATAATTTAAGAGTGGGAGGTATGGTGGAGAATGCATACCACCTGAACAATCCCTTTTGTTATGTAAAAAAATAAATGATTTGGGGATTGTCATAAGGTGAATAAATAATACAGGATTATTTATTGTAAGGACATTTATGTACTAAGGTTTTTCGTATTCATGTATGGGTTGTACATCTACTTTCTTCGGTCTGTTTTAGTTGTTGTACTTGCTAAAAATAATGAATTCTAAGTAGGCATTTGGCCATGCGATACCATATCACGATATGGTATCGTGAGATGGAATCAGCATTTGAACATGCGATTTTACGCTGATTCCATCTCATGATTCCATATCATGAGATGTGATTCCATATTCTCCAAAAACCATGATATAGAATTATATGGGAATTCCATATCATGATTTGAGATATTTTAATACAAAAATTGATCCACGAGTTTATATTTTGTTAAAACAACCCACATTTATATCTACTAACCATTTATTTCATATGTAAATAAAATTTATAATCACATCATTACTTTTTAAAATTTATTATTCTCACCGGCATAAAATTTATTATTCTCACCAACATATAGTCACTTTAACTCACACCAACCGATTATTGAGTAATAAATTTATTTTATGGCCTTAATAAGTGTACATTTATATTTTATGTGTAAGTTATTAGTATTTAGTTACATATTTCCTATCAACTTTGTTTAAAGAGATAATATTTATTTTATGATTTTGCATTGTGTTGGAAGCAATATTTTTATTACTCTTACAAACATTATTTTTATGAAGTGCATTCTATAATGCTTCCAATTTATTTTATGTTCATTAAACTATTATTGATGTATTTTTTATTTGATAGGATTGTGTTGGTGCGATTGATGGAATATATATAGAAGGGGAGGTTCCTAAAGCGGTGCAACAAGCATATTGTAATCGCAAAGGAAGAACATCACAAAATGTCTTATGTGCTTGTGATTTTGATATGTGATTTACCTTTGTTGATGTTGGTTGGGAAGGTACTGCGCATGATAGTAAAGTATTTGAAAATGCACTTGTTGAACCAACGCCACAATTTCCATTTCTGCCATATGGTAACTTTAAATTACATCCTTAGAATAAGTATTATTTATTTACACAAAGCTGTCTCATTTACGTCACATATGCTTTTAGTAATTCTTTATAAAATGTTTGTCGGTAGATAAATATTATGTTGTTTGATGCTGGTTTTCGAAACACAAAAGGATTTTTAGCTCCATACAAAGGACTACACTATCATTTGCAAGATTACCGAGGAAATGAAAGAGAGCCTCAAAATCCGAAAGAACTGTTTAATTATAGGCATTCATCTCTGTGCAATGTGATTGAACAGATTTTTGGAGCTTGGAAAAATAGATTTAGAATACTGAAACAATGCATGAACCATTATGATATTGATACACAAATGAAAATTGTCAAAGCTTGTGTAGTGTTACATAATTATTTGCGAGAATACAAAAATACTGATGAAATATTTATGGTCTAAGAGCATGAAAATATAGTTGCGGATGATATTGACCACAAATGGCTCAAAGTAACAATGTTGGTTCGTCTTCTCGGTCACATGATCAAGAAATGCAAGTTCAACGTGAGGAATTGTCCGTACTATGTGGGAGGATTATATTAAAGACTAATACACTACAATTCATGTTCATTTTTTTTATTAAATTAAAGTTAGATGAAACAATTACTTAAGTAGAGAACAAATAACTTTGTAATAATTTATTATGCGATTTTATAAATTTTTGTTTATTTGATAAGATTGAATAAACAATTGGGGCTATAACTTATGAGATTTTTATGTTTATGAGAAAATATACAACACAAAAATTTCATATCGCATGTCCAAACAAAACTTCAATTTCATCTCATGATTCCATATCATGATACCATATCATGATTCCATATCATGATACCATATCGCATGGCCAAACAGGCCCTAAATGTAGTGGTTATTTAGAAAACTAAGATGCATAATTAATTATTGATTTTCATTTTTATCTTTTTAACTCGATAAATGTGGTAAAAAGAGAAGGTAATATTAAATTTAGTCTAATAACATTTTTAGTTAATGTTTTTTTATGAGGCATGCAAAAGAAAAACATAACAAGTAAAATGGATCGAAAAGTGTATTATATGTTCCAACTTATAAATATAGATTCTTGTATAATTTATACTAGTATTTCCTTTGTTTCTTTTTAGTTGTCACAATTTCCTTTTGAGAGTCAAAAAGATATGAACTTTGACTAACATTTTAAGATGTTTTATTCATTATATTGATATGAAAAAAATTGCAATTTAAAGTATTTTTTTTTTCGTATAAATTTTTAATATAATTTGCATATTTATTATTTGTGCAATGAACAGTGCTGGAGAGAGACTCTACCTCAGGCAAAACCAAGGAGGATGAGAAGCCATAAACATTGATAGATGGATGTCATCTGCACAAACATAATAAAAAAGTGAAAAGAAAAGAAAGAAAGAAAGAATGATGTTAATTTTAAAAAAATAAAAATTATTGATAAAAATCAGTAATTTTCAAATGTTTTAAAAAGAAGGATTATTCCTTCCGGATATATGATAAAATTCAAACAATACAGAAAAGATAAGTATGATCTATGTCAACAAAAGGGAAAAAAAACATCTCGATACATGCGTCAAGCTATATTGTAATCAAGGTAACACAAAATATATGTATAATAATAATAAGCTATAAATAAATAATTAACCTTGAAAAATGTTGCTGAAGCTTCTTCACTGGGATAACCTCTCTCACCAATGACTTGAATATATAATAATATAATTAAATATACCTCACAAACCCTTTTAATTAAGTAACCATATCTAGAATGACATCAACATATAATAATTACATATTATGATATATATGTGGTAAATGCTCATAAATCAAAAGAGAATCGAAAAGGTAATAAGATAATATATGAGAATCATGATCTAGAATGACATCAATATATAATCATTACATATTATGATATATATGTGGTAAATGCTTATAAATCAAAAGAGATTTGAAAAGGTAATAAGATAATATATGAGAATCATGATATAGATATTTGATGCAAAATGCTAAGATTTGGTTTTATAGGCTTTGAATTTGTTATTTCTTCTAATTATATGTTCTTTTTACAAAAGATTTTGAATTTTACTATATTATCTTTGGTGAATAATTAGGTCAATATTACATTTGCTTAGGTTTCACTATAGTATCTTTTGGTGAATAATTATGCCTTTTAATAAGATCATAATTATGTTGAGGGAACTTGACCAATGTCAAAAATAACTTTTATTTTAATATGAACTTAGTAATGTTAAAGTAAATAAAGCATCATATCAGGCTATCATCTTTGTGTTAATTGTTCATCTAAATGAAAATTTAAAGCAATTTAGCTATACATTATACATAAACATGCAGTAACATACACTAATAACCATCAATAGTAAAGAAAAAAATCTTTGATTCCGCTCTTCATCGTTAAGAAGAGCTAGGTAACTATTTAATCGAAAAAGATGGAGTAAATCAAAGATCGATATTTTACTTAACTATATATAATAGCGCGTTCCAACATGTAAATGATAAACAAAAAAAAGAAAAAAATTGACAAAGATACATTGTCATTACACAACACAAAGGAGGAGGCATCAGAGTAAGCTTAAATCCTCCAATCTATAGATTATGTATTAAATTGGCTAAATCCCTATGTTTTCTCTCCAAGAAAATTGAGTACACCGTTTCGTTATCCAAAATCTCTGGATGTTGTGTTTAGCATCTCAAGAACCAGGGCATCCAACCCCCTGGATATTGCAGTGCGCGGGGGACTGAAACATGTGATCTGTACAATAAACATGCATGAATGAAACGAATTATAGACACAGCCATATATATTTCCATTAGAAAAACCTACAAATAGAATATCAAAGCAGAATTGGTTGTTCCAGAGCATTTCCATGACAAAAGATCATGGTGCGTCAAAACTCAGACCAGAGAACATACTAATCTACTCAACATATGCACAACTTATCGTCCTGTTGATTGGTCGTAGGAACTAGGTTAGATAGTGAAGCAGTTGCAACCATCATGAAATAGCCCGCAAATTTCATTTAGCAACGTTAGGCAAAAGCAAACAGTAAAACTTTACCTTCAATTCAATTGGAATATATAGAGTGGTCGCATAGAACTTCATTTGTCAGGATGTGCTCTTTTAGCCCTGCGACGTGTGTGGCTTGTATGGTGTCTATGTGAATGCTTCTTTGGCTTCTTACTGCTGAAATGCGTAGGACAATCACAGTGAAGTTGCAAAAGGGAGGAAAAAGTTAAAGCTACTCCAAATAAAACTGTAGAATCATGGTTAACCAAAGCAAAGTCGTGAAAACTAACCACCTAAAATCTGATATCAAATTTAGAAGAAAGATCACAGGTAAAGCCAGCAAAGCTGAAGCCTGGAAAAATACAAAAATGAAAACTAATGACTAAATGTTAAGCCAAAATATCATAAGAACTAGAACATAATCTACCCTCACTCAATATCTGATGTTAAATTTGAGATTATTACGATATAGCATTACATACCAGATACCAAGCCAACTCCTTTGTAGCATATGGCTTGGTGATGTGGTGATTCTTCAACATGTGATGTATATTTTCTTGAGCCTTCAAAACCAAAAGCAACAATGATCCATATAAGCCGATTGTCATCATCCTTTTAAGACTAAGAAAAACTATTTTCAAGCATCACAAGAAGAAGAGAGAAAAAAAACGATCCCTAAAAGATAAATGAAATACTGAAGTTGAGTTTTACCAACACATTTGGAAAAAGGTTATCATTTGAATTGAAAAAAAAAATTAAGTATGCTTGAACGTTTCTTTCCTTAATTGAAACGAAGTAGCCATATTAGCCTAATTCCACATCATTCAGTGTTTCATTCCCCAATAGCTTTCACAATTTTTGTCAAGGTAAGTCCTCACATCGTCTTGGTTTTTGTAGACAAACCACGTTTGGGGTGTGTTCTTTAAAAAGAATTAAATGTTCATACCAGAAGAAAGCCAGAATAAACTTAGATCCCCACCTAATTATAATAGTGTTAATCGGAAAATCAGAAATACCAGGTAGCCATTCTTGAACCCATCAGAGGTAAATTGCTACTTTTCCCCCCTTTGTAGGTACAGTAAGGGGATACTTCTAATGAGAAAGAGACATATTGCTATAAAACTTTTGAACTCCATTGAAATTATTGTTAAATATTAGGTCAATGTATAATAGCAAGAGAAACTCCATATTGCTATTGAATGAAAGCTAAAAGCCTAAAACACATGAATGGGAAATAAAGCTTACATTTCCATTGTATTAATTTTGGTTAACAAATTAAGTTGACATGCAACCAAAACTGGTGTAATATAAGGGAAGAGGCATAAAAGTACCCCTAGACTTGTCAAGGATTATCAGTTACAGTTTACACAGTAATACTTTGCGGGAGTCCTATGACCCCCTTAGACTATTTTAAACTAAAACTAGTGAGAGTGAGAGTGAGGCAAAAAAAGTGTAAATTCTTCATTTTTATAATATTTCTGTTATTAAATACATACATACATACATACATATCCATATACATATACTGTATTTTTTTCTCCTTTCTTCCATTTTCTTTTCTCCTCTGTGAAAGAAGCTGGCAAAAATGAAAAATAAAGGAAAAGAAAAGAAGCAGTCAGCAACAATGGGAAGAGAGATTGTGGAGCTATTTGAAGGGGATGGTGGGGCTCGTTGGCGATGAAGGGGGCCAATCAATGTTGGTGATATAGTGGCAAGGAGTGAAAAAGAAGAAAGAGAAAGCAAAAGAAAAAGGAATAGAATAAAAAGAAAAAGAAAAAACAAGGGGAAAAGAGAAAAAGTTAATTTTTTATCAAATGCAAACGTGTCAGGTGTGTGTACTTCTCAATCCAACACAGATATGAGATTAGCATTTTAAGGGTGTGTTTGATCAATCTTAAAATGGTCCAGGATGATCATAGGACCTTCACAAAGTACAAGTGTGTAACTAGTAAATAGTAATCCGAGACAGTTTGGGGGTGTTTTTCTGCCTTTCCCCTAAAATATACTCTAAATCAGACACTCATTTGAAGCAAGTAACCGTACATCTAAAACCTGAATTGATGGAAAAAGAGAACATGGTGTTAGATGATAGCATATTCACCAGAATACTAGTTGTTATTCTGGTTTCTTCTAGGCATGCACCAATGCAAAAATCCTTTACCCCCACATCCACATGGCCCAGCTATTTTTTGACAAAAAGAACCACAGCACGGAGTGAGAGAACACGAGCATGTGTAGCTTTCCTTTACCTATTTGATGTCTGCTAAGCAAGAATACACCAGTTTCTCTAACTGAGACCAAATCAGAAAACACAATAAAATAGAATAAGATATCTCTAATTAGGTCTCATATTGATCTATACATCATAAACGGTTAATTATTCTTGCAAAGCTAGGTTTGGCTCATGATGATCCACTCACATTATAACAAAACATGGGTTTTCATGCAAATAATTTTTCTTTATAATTCTGTAAATTATCTCATTAATTTTATTTCAAGTCCAACTTTTTTCATCTCTCCCTCGTTCCATCTTGATAGTTAACTTGTCCAACAAGTTCATCCTCCATTCCTTCTTCCAGACAGAGAACTCCACGAGATAAAATCATGTCTTTTTGTTGGTAATGTCAAGGCAATAGTTACTGTAGGTTGTATTTGTAATAAAAAGTCCGGGTGGGAACAATTCTAGGTCTTACGTGATAAGAAAAGAAAATCAAGGGAGAAAACATCAAGGATGTCACATCAAAAGTAAAGCAGCATTAACACTTAACAGGAGACCAAGATAGGGAAAACAGAGAGGGGAAAGAGACATCATGCCTGGTGATGATATAAACTGACAGTTTTCTTGACCTTCCTATAATGATGATGAACTTTCTTGGTGTAAGGTTGCAAGAGAATCCTTGCTTTGTCAATATGAGGTTTCATCACCAGTGAAACTTGGTCAACATAAGGGTCTGCGACTTTCCTAACTTCCTGCAAAATTAGTAGGCTGATATGAATAAACCATGCTGACCATAGTCATTGAACATAGAAGGTAAAAACAAATATACCTTGACGTAGGGTTGGATGACCTCCTGTGCATTCACAATATGAGGTTCCATAAACTTCTTGGATTCGTGATAAAGGTGAATACTCTTAGTCTTGAGCCTCTGTATATGAGGCCCGGCATCACGAGCAAATTCCACTGAGCGCTCTTTCATAGCTGGGATCCATACCTTCAAATGAAACAACAGGGAATCAAGGAACAGTTGAACATAGAGAAGAAAAGCATTGTATACAATGTTATTTCAATTCTGGAAATGAAAAACAAACAAAAATCTCAACTATAAATTATCATCTCCCAGACCTATGTATATATTTAAAGCATAGAGGAATGATAGGGAAGAGCTATGCAAATATAGGGCATACACTAAGAAGGGGGAGTCAAGGTGACCACAGCGACAAACTAGATAACAGAACTAAATAGATGGACTACCAAAGAAGAAATGCTTCCTTTGGTAGAAAGGAGAAACTAAAAAGGAATGGCTTACTGTTTTAAATGAGTGAATATGAGGCTTCGCCATCTTTACTACTTCAGATTTGGTCTCCAGGGCCTGAAGCAATCATTATTAAGAGGATTGACATCTATAATGCAGAATAGATATCTCAAGAATACTATAAAGAACAAGCGTAATTTAACCTAAATGAAGTACCGACTAATTAGAAGCATTAGCAGAAGAACAAGACCTTTTTTAAGGTCAGATCCAAAGATGGTCTTCCGTGCTCATTCCAGTAAGTCATAACAATTGACTGCACAATCACAATAAGTCAAGGAAAATGGATAAAAAGAGAGACTCCTTTATAATATGCAAAAAAATAAGGATAATCACCCGAAAATGTACAAGATGAACGGCAAGCCAAGGTGGAAGCCATCCTTCTTTAACCTGGTCTCACCACAATAATACACCCAATCAAATTCCAAAAAGTAGAGGACATGTGATTCAGTCAATAGTTAATTGATTTTCCTCTTGAGTCATCACACTGTGATTTTATCAAGTTGCTAACAGTTTTTTTCTTGTTATAAAATATCAGAACCCCCACCCTAATTGATCCAATGGGAAATAGTTCACTTGGAAAAATAGAAAAGAAAAAAGGAAGACAGAAAATATGTAAAGAGTAAGAAGCAGAAAGAAATACAATATGATACTTTGGTCTTCAAGGTCGATTTTGATTAGTTAATTCCATCACCCAGATTTTAGATGGAAGAGAGTATAAAACCAGAGGATTGGAAACTTACCAGAGAAAAATGGAACAAGTAAAGAGAGGATAAGAACCTCATTGCAGTAGAAAGACATCATTCGGGATAAATATTTCTAGATATATTTGAAATCAATGACAGACCAGAAGTGCAAGTAGAAAAAAAAAAGATAATTTCAGAAGTACTAATTCTACCTGCTCAAGCTGCTCAGAAACAGAAGAAGCCTCCAATTTAGCCTTCATCATTTCTTCCTGAAGCCACCAAAAGAATTAGTACCCTCAGCTAATCAGTATTTCCTGTTGTCAAAGAAACTAAGTAATGGAAACCTCTGCCACTTGAAGAGCACGTTTGGTCTTACGGATCCTAGCATTCTGCTCCTCATTTATCCGTTGTAGCTAAAATCAATTATGCATACAATACAAAGTGATGTCAATTCTTAAGGAAGTGATTAAGTGAATGCAAAAAGGATTATATTTGTAAGTCCCAAATATGAAAATTCAAGTAAACAGCACATACACTTTCAAGTTTTAGATTCAGTTCCTGTATTTTCTCCTCTGCTTCATTTGTACTGACTTCAAGAATATTTTTCTTCTTGTTTTGTGCTTCTGTTTCCCTTCTAAGAGCATCTATCTGCACATCAACAGAATATTAAGGAATGCAGCATAATCTCTAAACAAAGAAGCCAGCTTAAACATAACTAACCTGGCGTTCAAGTTCAGTGGCACGAACATTAGCCTTCGCAACCAGCTCTTTTGCATTAAGGGAACCTTTATCCTAGCGAAGATAAGTATATATCAAGTTAATGACCACTCTAGAGCACAGAAATTTCTCTGTTTTTATCACAGTTATGACTGTCTGAATTCTTTAGCTTACTCAGATACTAAAAATGACCACTCTCATTTCAAAAGGTGTGTTGTCAAACCTGAAATAACTGAAGTTCACTTTGTAGAGAAGCCAATTTGGCTAATTTCAAGTCAACCGTATTCTCCAGCTCTTTGATTCTCTCATCCTTTGTCCTCAGTTCACGAGTACTGTCGTCAATACGCGACTCTTTCATCCAAATAAAAGGAAAGAAAATTAAGTTGTTAATTAGAAGGGAGCTATAAAAACAAGGGGAAAAGACAGTGAAGAGTAATGAATTATATTTTTGCACATTACCCAGATTATTCGTCGTTACACCTACATTAGGTCAGCATTTGACTGGAGTTTATTAGTTTGGTGAAAGATTTCATTGTAGGAACAAACACCAGATTTGAAGAATTTATACTTTGTTAGAAATCCTTATTTGTTCCCACCGGACAAATTATTGAGTATTGGAATGACATGGGCTCAAATAGACTGAAATAGATAATAGAGGTGTCATATAGCAAAGCGCAACTAGTTTCGACGCATAGTTGATTGATTGAAATCACTCAATAATTTTCCAACTAACAAAATAGCCAGATCCAAAAAAAGAGAAAGGGCTAATATAGTTGACAGTAAGAGATCCACCAGAAGTCTAAACCCCATATAATTGATAATTCTAAATAGTTTTATACTAAGAAATGTTTCCAACAGTGGCAAATAATTGTTCAGTTCTTCGGTTCTTCCTAATAATAAATGAAATGCTAAGTTCATAATGCATTCCTATTTTCTATCTTAATTACAGACCTTTAATCAAAACGTCAACATTCACTCAAATTCAATCCATAGAAATCCAATGCACCAAGGAGGCTCGTTTGGTCAAGAATAAGTACCACAATACATGTATAGAATTTATATGTTGTTTGGTTGTTGATCTTCAACCTACATAAAATTGAGTATAACTTATACCATGTTTGCTTGGCTTTTTCCTAATCTACATAAGATTCAACATACTTAATGCTATGTTTGGTTTCTTCTTTCCTTGGTGGTATAACTAATACATGCATACATGATACAACAACAACATACCCAGTATAATCACAAAGTGAAGTAATACATGCATGAGTTATACAAAATCTATGTATTAATTTATGCCGGGTAGAATATGGAATAGCAATTCAGGTATTATTAATACAAGAATCATATTATCAAAAGACAGAAAGCTCTCATCATACTCTAGGCTAAATTGTTATTGAGAAAATCATTTTCTTTTATTTTTATGATAATTGTGGTGTCCAAGCTAGCTTCCACGGGTCACCTCCCACCAGCAATAGGTATCATGTAACTCTGTCCACCAAGCAAGGTCAAATGAGAAAAAAATAACAGTGTCTTTGTCTTTACTTGAACATGAGATCTCATGGTTCTCAACCCACTTCATTCATAACTAGGTCACATTCTTGAGTGCAAAATTATTTTATTTTAAAACTTAAGATTTTTCAAATTACAAATTGTATAATTGAAACAAACAAGATATTCAGCAAAGAATAATCTCTATGTTGCAATCCATGTAATACTATATCATGTATAATTATTTTATTGTTTTGAGTAAGCAATTCATAAATAACTGATTTATGCATAATTGATCCTACCTAATTAATCCAAGTATTACTAATCCTTGCATTTCTAATCTTTGCACAGCTATTCCCTACATAAGAAATCCCTACATTGTTAATGCCTACACAACTCTAAACCAGCAACCAAACAACCGCTTAGTTTTTAAATAACTATATCTAAAAAAGTAGGAAACTAACAGGTTTCCAAGGTTTCTAGAAAACATTTCTGCTATACTAGGAATACACACAAACTAAAATATGTTTCTTCATTTTCATGTCCTCCTGCTACATTGACTAAAGTAGAGATGGCAAAAATCAACCCAAACCCGCCCAACCCGTCCAGTGTTTCTACCAAATGAATCATGACCATTTGTTGAGTTGACCTAACAGGTTGAAACCAAAATAACTCATCAATCAATTGGGTCAAAACAGGTCAAAGTAGTTTAATCCACACGATCAAAATGTAGCCCAATTCACAAGCAAAAAATATTTAGAAAAAAGAAATTGCCCTCCAGTCTATTTAATCAAATCAACTAAATTGTCTGTACAACACGCGATCCTCTCTCTATTACGCCAAAAGTATGAAATGATATTCTAATACTCATTTCTTGCCTCTATGAAATGATAAAAGTACTAACTTAACAACACATTCTTTTATCTACCTCACTACTAAGAAATTACCTTTCACTTCATTCAACATTCATCCAAACAATCTAAAGAAGAGACATGTGATGTTCTCCAATTCTTTTGTATTCTCCAACTTTTCACCAGATAGGTTGGGTGGATTGTGCAGAGAATTGGGTTATGCCAGGCGGGTTGGGTTATGACTGTTGTTTGACACATTTTGACTCGAAGCAATTTTTTTTATGACCGTGGTGTTTGGGCCAGTTTTCATGCAGCTCGACTAATTCCACGGAAATCGTAGCACCTCCCACCGACAAGAGGTACCAAATAACTCTTCCACCAAGGCTAGTATAAATGGGAAGAATCACCTAGTGTTTTTTGTCTCCACTAAATTTTGAACCTCAGGTTCTCAACCACTTCATCGACTCAAACAAATTTTGGGCAAGTTGGGTGTTAACCCATTAATTAATTTAACATGTTTTGACCCAACCACCCCATTTGCCACCCCTACAACAAAGGAACTACAATACATCTTCAGTTTGAAAATCATTCACGTCTCATTTTAGGTGCTCTTGAGATATCAAATTAACACTGCTATTTTCACTTAAATTATCAAAAGAATCAATCTTTAACTTCGCCTTAATCTCAAATTAGTTCCGGATGAATCATCTTATATCTGTTACACTCTACTTGAGCCAGAAAACAAAAAATCTACATTTATGAGTAAATCCCAGATGATAAATTTCCAACATACGATAAACCCAATTCCATTTTAGAGTAAAAAAGCGCAAAATTGAGTATAGGAAAAACCTAAAAGGGAAATTTTGGAGTTGAGTTGGTCAAGTTGGAGTCTGATAGATGAATCTGCATCTGAATCAACAATTGGTTCTGAATCAGCAACTCCATTTGATGAAATTGTTGAGAAAATTTGGAGAAATAAAAATGAATAGAGAAGCAGTTTCAGCAACGCCATTTTTGCACTCTGACCTTTTTTTTTTTTTTCACAAAGAAAATGCAGTGACAGTTTTGGACTCTTGGGTTTTTCGACATTCACGTTAGTCACTTGATTTTACTGTTTTACCCCTGTCCCGTGCACAAACATGTCATCGAACTTTGAAAAAAAAACATATTTACACCTTTCGCTAAAAAGTCAAGTTTATTTATGTCATTTTCATCTGAGAAAAAGCTCAGTCATCTCATGGCAACGAAAAGTTCTAACATATTTTGTTTATTTGTGCAAGCAACTTGTTGGTTTGTTGGTTGAGACTTCAACTTATGTGGGAGGTGTTGGTACGACTTTAAATTTTACTTGGTCTAACAATAGTTATTTTATTGATTTAATTTGTGATATTATTTGGAATCATTTCTCAATATTTGGTGTTTTATTCATAACTTTAAAATAATGACATAGGACATGAAAATTTGTTTGATCCTTAAATTCTTATGAGTGTTACATAAATTGAGACACATGAAGTAATATATATTACCTGAAAATAATGTAAAAAGTAAATAAATCACAACAATTAAAAAATTTAAATTTTAAAAGACATGAAAAAAATTATCAAATTTCTATCGACGTTACATAAATTGGGACAAAACGAATAACATACATATTATTACCTAAAATGATTTGGAATAAACATACTACAAAGACATAATATAATGTATCTAGGAGTTTGAATTGATCAAGTTCAACATTATTGATATGGTCACCAATAATGTAATGGAGCCCGATAGACGAGCCCAACTTGTAAATTGATTGTTAGACCACTAGGGGACCGACCCGATAAATTTAAATTATTTATTTTTGGAAGAATTTTATAAATATACAATAAAGTAGTTTTATTTGCATTAGATATATAGATATACAACTTATTCAGATTGACTTATTTTTAGGTGTTTTTAAGCTAAATAGTTTTTAAGTATTTTTGAAGTGTTTGGATAAAATTAGAAAAGTTCTTTTAAGCACTTGTTTATAAGTCAAAATAATAAAAATAAGTCATAAGTTAGATATCCTAAGTTATGGCTTTTGGCTTATAAACCAAAAACAATAAGCCAATCCAAACGATAGTCAAGTTTTCATTTACATAAAAAAAAAAACCACCAAATCAGCAAACAATAAAAATTATCTTCAACAAAATTGTCATATATATGTATATATGTAATGTATCGATATGTATATATAATGTATAGATATTGCATAAATGGTGTACTCGTGTATAAATGATGTATAACTATATATCAAAGATGTATATACATTGTTGATACAATAAAGTATACATTACAGACCATTTTTGCCTCCAATCCCAACCAATTTGAATCTACTCTATACGACTCAAAATTTAAATATGAGCTTCTTTCGATTTTTAATTCTTTTTATATATTATTCACTTAAAATAATTCATGTTTGCGGCAAATCTAGCTCGTAATTTGTTTGCTAATTATGCACGATATGAGAACTTCTAAATCATGAATCGACAAATCATTATAGAGGTGATTTCTATGATAATAAGCTCACGTACATTTTGTTGAAAGATAACCATTGCTCCAAGAAGCTAGCTATCACTAAATAAGCAAAAACTATCATTATTTTTAAAAGTTTGTGTTGCACCACAAAGATGAGTTTCATGGAACAACTCATTTGCAAATTCGTTACTACCGCCTAGATGATCTAATTAAAGAATCTTTTATAGGATGCGAAAAGATACAAATTTAGAAAAGTTAAAATAATTACATGAAAAAGAAAAAAAGAGCGAGGACATAATTAATAAGACTATATATATATAGGATAATGAACTAACAATTGAACTAAATTGAGTTAGTATAATGATCGAATGGTTATTTTGGATAATAAACTAATAATTTGACTAATTTTAATCATCATTAAAATGGGTCAAATGATATCTTCTTCCAAGTAAGTACATAAATTGCCTTGGTCTTTTATCCTAAAAAGAGTCGTCCTTTATTTTTTCACAACGGTTATATAAATGATAATAATATCTTTCACTCACAATTAGTAATGATTTTGTTCGCAAAATCATCATATTTCACATCATGATATAGAGTCTTTGCTATTGTCTCTATCAAATCTCTATTTTTTCAATGCCAAATATAATTACTATTGGACTCGATCTATTCACAAGACAATCAACGCTTATTGTTATTTTTAATTCCTCCATATTTTGATGTTCGAAATATATTATGATTTAAAATAAAAGATTAGTCCTGATATGTAGAAGAAAAAAATTATGATAAAATACACTAGCTATATATTGTTGTTGATTCAATATTTTTTGCATCTATTACAGCAACAGATGCAACATATATTGAAACATATTCAACAATCGTTGCATATATTTCAGCATTTACTACAACAGTGATATAAATAGATATAAGAATTGTTGTACAAATACAACAAATGTTGAATCATGTGCAGCCGTTTCTGAAGCAGATGCATCAATTGTTGTAATATATTCAACAATTGCATGCATTTGGTTGTTACATTTGTTGCAGGAGTGCCTAAAATAATTTTAGAGTAAATTCAGATGAGCAATACACATAAAAGAACATTATTCACTTATCAAAATGATTAAAAATTACCTCTCGAGCAATGTCAATACGATACCAGCGAAATTCAATTTACAAAATGCATGAACAAAAAAAAACCAAAAAAGAAAGAAAAAGAGGATGAAGACGAAAAGGAGGAGAAAGTAGAATAGGAAGAGGAAGAGGAAGAGGAAGAGGAAGAGGAGTAAGAGAAGGAATAAGAAGAGGAGGAGGAAGACGAGGAAAAGGAGGAGGACGAGGAGGAGGAAGAAGAAGAATAAGAAGAGAAAGAAGAGAAAGAAGAGGAAGAGGACGAAGACAAAGAAGAGAAAAAAAGAAAAAGGAGGAGGATGAGGAGGAGAAAGAGAAGATGATAATGAAGAAGAAGAAGAACAAGAACAACATCGCCAAGCTAGGAATGAAGAGGAGGATAATAAGAAGAAGAATGTTCTAAAATAGTATAGTGACAACTTTTTGGTAACAAAAACATACATGAACCTTTGACCTATGGATATGTTCATGATTTGGACAAGTTCATGATGACAAATCTATTAATTATTGTGGTTGCTGACCACTCAAACATAAAAGATGAATTCTTGAAAAAGTTAATCACTTTGAATTTTTTATTTAATTTCATAGCAGATGAAATTTTCTTTGTGACGTTTGAAGTGAAATCTGAGATGACATTACTGATGGATAAGGTTGTAAGTGTGTCTATTTATGCTAAAACAATAAGTGCTACTGAATATATAGTTGCGTGATAATGATAAACCTACATTAATATGTTATAGACTTATAGTATGTAAATGTTTTTTGCTATGGCAATTTATGTGACTAAATCCTACTTATTTAGTTGTTCAACGTTAGAAGCTTAATTACCTAAATGATTTGGAACAAACGTACTACAAAGCAGGGGCGGATCTACATGGAGGTTAGGGGGTTCACCCGAACCCTCTTTGTCGGAAAATTACACTGTATATATAAGGTCAAATTTTGTTTTCATGTGTATATATATAAAAATGAACCCCCTCAACACATGTAAAGAGGCTAGCTCAGTGGTAAAGGGGGTTCAAGAATTCGCCTTGCCGTCTTGGGATCGATTTCGCGCAGCAACACTTGATTTTTTTTGTTTTCTTCATTTGAAAAATCAAATAGAAAGGCTGAGATGGGCTCAACATTTTTGGGGGTGTTTGTTTACCCCCCTAATTTAATTTGAAGTGAATTTAATTTCCCCTTAAAAGGTGACGTGGCAAAATTTGTATCACCAACTTTCTATAAGTGCGTGAGACAGAAAAAAAAACCAAAAAACTGACACTTGTCATCTTTTTATTGGACGACATATTTAATAACTTATTTTACTAATTTTTAAACATTTTATTTTTCAATTAACTTCTCTTCTCTGTAGTTTTTTTTTTTTTTGCATCTTCTTCTTCCTTTCTTTTTCTTTTCTCAAGACTCTTTCTCTTCCTTATTCTTTTCATTCCGTTCAAGGTAAACATTTACTCATTTACTCTCAACTGTAACTTTTTCCACATTTTTTCTTCTTCTTTTCTTTTCTGTTTTTAATCGTTTTTTTTCTGTTTTTCTTTGACAAAAATTTTTGGTGTTTGATTCATTGACACCATTTTCGACATAAAAAAAGATTATTAGATCTATGAGTTTAAAGAGTTATCAAAAAAAAGAACCCGATTTCAACTTAAAAAAATTCAAAGATATTGTTGGCAAAAAATTGATTGTGGAGATTTTGTCCAATTCATTGATAAAGTAACATTTTTATGTAAATAATTTTTTTAATTTTCGAGGAAGGTGGTATGATGTAACTAAAAACTGAACTGGAATTGCAATTGAAATTTGAATTATAATTTGTAGATTGAGGGGTAAATTCATCGATGAGTTTAGTTTTTGGCTCAATTTTAGATATAATCATGGTGGGCGTAGGAGTTGTTGGTTTAATGTGGAAATTGATGTCTACAAATGGAATATTGAAACCTATTCTCTTACGAAAAGAAAGAAAATTGGAGAAGTTTTTTTATTTTTACATAAAGAGAAAATTATTATATAATGGAAGAAGAAAAGTAGAAGAAAATTGCACTGTAAAAAGAAGAGTTGTTGTTGAGAAGGTGACAAACATTGGGGAAGACAATTAGTGATGAAAAAAATAAATTATTATGGAGATTTAAGTAATTAATTAGAAATTTAGTTAATATACACGTGGACGAATAAAGACGCGTGTGACTCAACAACACCTAGCCTTCAACTGGGCTAGTGATGGGAGGGTTGAAAAAAAAACACTTAAAAGATGTTAAGGGGATTATTTAAACACCCATATAATTAAAGTGCTAAAGTAAGTTATGCGGACAAGTTCAGGGGGGATTTTATGTCTTTTCCCTATTTTTTTTCATCTTTTTTAATGTTATTTCTCCTTTTCAATATTC